TCCTGTTGCCACCGAGGCGCAGACGAAACTACAAAAAGCATTGGGGGGGGGGACTTCTAAGTGCGAGCTTTCCCGGCAGATGTGCAGGCAGGCGATCATGGCACAAATCTTTAGTTAGGCTCCCGGGTCGTTCCGGCAGGAGAATACTCTGGCCACCAGAGAGGGCGCACCCACATCTAACCGGCGGCTCAGGGAGCTGTTTTTGTTTTTGTTTTTTTTTCTTCCTTCCTCTGCACTGCATAGAAACTGGCATGTTCTTTTGGGAAGAGTCACGTGATTGAAGACTGGGTTTGTGGACTGGAGAACACCATCTCCTCTCCTGACCTTGAGAGGCTTCCAAAGGAGGTCTCGCGGTGGAGCTGAAATCAGAGCCTCCCTGTGCCAGAGACAATAAAGGCAGAGTTCCCCAACGCCAGGTAGGGATCCTGGGGAAGTGTCCTCACGTGGCCATGTAGGGGCAGCCCAGGGCAAGGGAAAAACGGCTCTGATGGAGCTCAACAGCTGAGCAGGAACGGACAGAAAGCAAAGGCAGGCCAAAGACAAGGCCCTCTGAGGCCCGAGACCGCCCCCGCCAGCAAAGGAAACAGCTGTCAGAGCGTTAGGAACAGGTGGAAGTCGAGAGAAAAATCCATGTGCCTCGTGGAGCACAGCTGTCCGTCCATGTTGCGCTCACAAAAGAGAAGAGGGGGAAGGAGCCTGCCCGCCAGGCCAAGACACTCAGGAATGCCGCGCCTCTAGCGTTTTCCCTCTCTCCCGCGCCGGAGTCCACTCGGGCCTCGCGGTTCTGAGGGGCTCGGGGTGGGGAGTAGCATCGAGTGGGAGCACAGGTCAGTGAGGTAGAAGGGGACGGAGGAGGAGTGTGCTGACGAGGGAGGACACCCAGGGAGGGAAGCAGACCTCCCGTCCTTTCCAGGGAGGGAAGGGACGTGGCTAACCCGAACCTCGCCTTGCTACATCTCCCCCGCACGGCTGGCTTACTGGCCTCAGAAAGCGGGGGCTTGGGATGGCTAAGGGCGGACTCTTGTTTTTACAGGCCTGTCCAGAGGCGCCCGGCAGAGTGCATTTAAGGCAACGGCCGCCGTCCCCCAGCTCCAGGTGTAGTCGGTCACGAACACCGGTTCACTTTGTGCTAATCCCAGAAGGGCGTGCATACACCTCCCCCCCGCCCCCGGCTCCTCTGCTACTTTCAAGGAGGTTTGTTTTTCTAAGGAGGAATGAGAAACATTGCATAGAATGTCAACAGGGTTCATTGATCACCGTGCCAGAGGGGGCAGGCGTTCAGGAGGAACCCCAGTTCGCCTGCAGCCGGGAAGGCACCGGCCTGTGGACTGAGCCGTCCGGTGACTCTTGTCCCGACCTCTTAGGGCACGACTGGGGCATGATCTTAGGGCAACGAGCCGACACCAGAGCTTTCCCTCGGATTTGAGTACAACCTGCCTTCTGCTTGGTTTCCT